ATTGGAGGAGAACATGTCGCATGTCATGGGTGAAAACTCACTAACTCCCTAGGGAAACGACAACTTGAACATTTGACTCAAATGCAATCAGGTCATGCTCCTTGAAACCCCAGCAAATTTGTGTGCCAGCCTGAATCAAATAATTTTTGCACAGTTTGTTCTGATTTTGAGTTGGGAGGTCTGACAAAATACTTTAAAATGACTGGCCCCATGGGAAACAGAGAGTTTTGATGCCCCTCGTCCCTCAATGTTCCCCTTCCCTTTGCCTCAGGGAACATTGAGGGTCAAGAGGAAACAAAATTCTTCATTTCCTTTTGGGCCAGTCATTGAATGCTTAATGATCCACACTACTGGTATTATAAATGTAATATATAGATTTAGGCCAGCCTAAAAGCGTAGCTCCTAAGCTGGGTTGTTCAGAGCCAAATAACCCAGGAAAAGGTAAAATTTCGATTTGATTGTTGTAACTTTGCATTGAGGTTTTCTGTATATTGTTTGGCCTTCTGTTTTGAGTTTTAATAATCACTATACACACAAAACAAAGCAGCAAAAAACATTTGTATAGAAGAAAAAGTTATAATTCGGTTAACTTTTAATCCTGGGTTAGTGTTAACCCGCTTCCGAACAATCCTGCCCTGTTTTCAACAACTTAACCTCAGATGAGCCCGCGATCCAATCAAAAACTAGCACTTCATCAGCGGTCAACTTCAAAAAAACATGCGACCTCGATGAGCTTTAAACTTGAGCCCGCGATATGGTCACATGATATTGGTCAGCGGATACCTTGTTTTGACAGGTATCAATTAATCGATAACATGGATGTCCAATATCAAAGAAGTACACGGTAAATCAAGGCTGCATGTCTCAGTCAACGGATTATTTGGAGTATGGCCGCCATGTTGCACGACTCCGTCGTCGTCGTCATCGCCGTCGTGCATACGCGCCCACGAGCAATGCCACTAGCCATGATAACCATGGGAAAATCAACTCATGGGTTTCCTTTTCTTTCCTATATGAGTATGGGGCGCCGCTTGGTGGCCCTTCGGGCCGCCAGAGCTCCGCTATTAATAGTGTCTCGTAGCTGTTAATAAATAATAAAGTAACAACAACAACAATAATACAGTAATTACATGCACAATACACAGTACTAAACACCACAAAACACTAAAATTTGTAA